TTACCAGTAACCCAGTTAAAAATTTTCATCATTTTTTACAGCTAACAAAATTGACCCAAAAGAAAAAGAGAAAATAGTAGAATGGAACTTAACCTTGAGACCTGATCTGTAGTACTTGGACCACTAAATCTTTCAACTGCAGGTGAAATTGAAGGCTGAAGGAGTTGTCATACTCTCTGAATGTCACAAGAGCTTCAAGAAATACGTCCTGCGTAATCTCAACCATGCAAATAGCTTATATCCAAAAAGCCATTGAATGTTTGAGTTGATTTCAATGAATTCACTCTGCCCCAGAAATGACTTTTCAATACTCAGAGAAGGAAGAGGATAGAGGGAAGAGGGAAGAGAGAGGTGGGAGAGGGGGACCAAAATAATTCGTTCTATCTTTCCCACATGTTGATTATGACACTAAGGGGCCCTTCAGTTGCATTAATAGTATAAGGGGCATAGGATATTTATCCTACTCATACAATAATTTTACATATTCAAAAGAGTACGGATAATATTATTTTAAAAAAATTTTATTACCTTCTATCAATCCAGATAAATTTTATAACACCCAAAATAGGATAATTTTATCCTACCCATACAATAATTTTACCTATTCAAGAAGAGGATGGGCAATATTATTTTAAAAAAATTTTATCACATTTTATCACTCCGAATAAATTTTATCACACCCATCAAGTCCTGATAATTTTATCTTGATTCGGTTGAGAAAGTCATATAAGAGTAGCTGCCCGAATTTTTTATACTAACTGTTTACAAGACTACCGAATATGTATAAAATGGTGATAAAACATAATAAATTTATCTTATCATGCCTCATCAGACCAAGTGAATAGGGCCTAAATTATTATACCAAGTAACTGTATAATTAGTCATGTACGGCATGCATAAAATTATGATTCTTTTCTGTGTTAAAATTTTCATTTGTCTTTTGTATATTTTATTTTTTGTGTTAATTTTTTTTTATTCTCTAAAATTGCTTCAATTTATTAATATTATATAGAAATGTTGTATATTAAAAAACTCACGGGTTATTAAATGTTAAATATTGAAATCTAAAAATATAAAATATTTACATTTCATTCTGATAAACAAGAAAAGTAGTATTAAAGACGATAATACAAATGAGATAGAAACAACAGAAAGTGGTGAAGTACAAGTGTGGCAATGAAATTCTAGCTACTTGAAACGGTCTGCATTAAAGAATGTAAGAATTAGGTTGAGAAAAGGACTTGATTGAAACCCCGCTTTGGCTTTCAATTGTAAGTTATTTATAAGCCACATTGTGAGGGGGATTTGTGCAGTGTATAGTTGTACTTCTATCCCAAGGGGAGGCGTCTCATTGTATGAAGTTGAAGTGTTAAGTTTTAACTACGTCGGGAACATGTCTTCATATACCATCTAATACATTCAATCCTCGTGTTCAAGTTTAACTAATAGGTAAATCAAACTCTGATAGTCTCAAAATATAACAGTTATCATAGCAAGCTATTTTGATCATTTCGGTTCAAAAGACTATTTATATTATGGAATTATCATTAACATCATATAATTATTGATGTTTTCTACGTGATTAATTCAATATATCTTTCTGGAATAAGTATCTATATGTATATACTCTAATGCTTTCACACAAGTACTTATTAAAAATAACTCAATAAAAGTGAATATAACATATAATTGTATATCTAAATTAGTAACACGCAATCAATAATCCTATAATTACAAAAATATAAAGATAAATTTTATGAATGATATGAACTTATTTTCATGGTCCCATTATATTCATTTACTACTATTATACCTCATGAAATTGTAAAATTGTTATATAAATCAAGTAACATAAAGAACAAGTCAATAAAGAATTGCAAAATAAATTAAAAAATGAAATAATATTAATATAATTATTTCAAAGACATAAAAAAACCACATATTTTAAAAATAATTTTTCATTCTTTAAAAATAATGGGGTTGTTTGTAAGTTGGATTGAATGATTATAATTATCACAATTTCTAAGGTAAATTGTTTTCCAAATCAATTTATTTTATATTTCTCTTTTATTAGTCATTTGAGGACATGTTTGGTAGGTGATAAATTACGATAAGATAAAATTATCCACTTATATGAGTAATCTATCTTAAGAGGGATAAAATTTTGTCTTACCCCCCTAAACTCAATAAAAAATTTAATATTTTGACAATATTATCCTCATTATTTACATAATAAATTAACAAAATCTATCCATGTGTAAATCACCTATACTAAACCCTTTGCCATTGTCTTCCTAGCATCCCTATGTCTCTTCATCTTCCTAGCGATGGTCTTCCTTTCGTCTTCATCTTCTCGATATTCATCTTCCCTTTCGTTGCTTTTGCTTTTGCCTTGTTGGAATTGACGAAAATCAAGAAAGATGAAGAGAGAAGAAAAAGATGAGTCTACCTTGCCAAAATCAACAAAAATTAAAGAAGACAAAGGGAAAAGAAGAAGATTTGCTTATGCCTAGTCAAAATTGACAAAGATAAAGAGAAAAGAAGAAGATTCACTTTTGCCTTGCTAGAATTGACAAAGACGAAAAGAGAAGAAGAAGATCTACTTATGCCTTACCTAAATCAATGACAATCCACTATTGCTTTTACAATCTAGATTGGAGAGACAAAGATGGAGATTGGCAAAGATTTGGACTGATGAAAACAATTGCTACTTTTGTGATCTAAATTGAACTATCTCCCCTTCACTGCTACTTCTGCAACTTAGATCACAGTATAATAGTCCAATAATGACAGTGATGACGACAAAGATTGATAGTCTAGTAATACTCTACCGGGACTTCTCATGTTAGGAAAGAATAAGGGTTTGATAACATATTTTTATTTTCTCTCATCTTAATTAATATTTACCGAATAAGTAATAAAATTTAAAATAATTAAACATATAAAATTGTTTGAATCCTCTACTAGTCTAAATTTAACATTGGAGTCAAGCCAAGTAATTTTTACTAGTCTAAATTTAACATAGGAGTCAAGCCAAGTAATTTTTACAATGTTCGATTTTTTTTTTTTTTTAGTTACAAAGTCTAAAAAAATCACCTTTCATTTTTTCATCCTGATTATTTTGTTGTGCCAATTATTAGTTATATTTCTTAAAGACAACAATTTCTTCACAATAAAATTTATCAAGTTATAGCACACAATCTTAATCCATAAGTTAAGAAATGTGGTACGCATTTTGAATTATTAAATTTAGTAAAATTATTTCATTTCATTAAAACTAGCATCAATTGCATGTGCAATGTGTCTGCAACACAAAATATATAATGAAATGTAATTATAAGTAAAAATAACTTGTTAATATGTAATAATCATAAAATTAAGGGGAAAAAAAGAGTTGTTACAAGGATCATAATTAGAAATTCTTATGTATTTGTACATCAAAGATTATTCATTAGAAATAAATAATTTCATATTTTTTACTTGATTTGAATGGGTTAAAATTTTAGCAGTCAATTGAAATTTTCAGGAGCAACTGTTACCGTATAATTTAAACTCTTTTTTTATTTCGGAAGTATGACCAAAATTAACACTTAAAAAATAGAAAAATGAGAATAAATCAAAACCAATTTAGCAACCAAGAGAAATAATTATCAAATTAATAACCAACACGTGGCACTATTTTGTTAGGGAGAAAACAATGATCATCAATTTTTGTAAGTTTAAAAATGAAACGCTTAAAGAGATAAGTACAATAATATTAGCAATGAATCAAATTACAACTCACCCTGTGTGAAAATCAAATTACAACCCAAAAGTGAGAAGAGTTGGGCAATTCATTTTCATACTTCATCCAGCAAGAACTCATCTCTGGGAATAAAAAATTAAATGTGTTGAACAAATTTATCCTCCCCCTCCCCCCCCCCCCCCCAAACACACACACACACACACAACACAAACAAACACACATATCCATTTCCGGGGGAAAAAAAAAAAAAAAAAAAAAAAAAAAGAAAAAAACTTCTCCAATGTCTCTCAAGGGATCCATTTTGGATAAGTGTAGAACTCTTCTCTATTTCTGTGGTTATAATACCTGAATTGGATTTCTACGGGTAGCAATGTAACCCAAGATGAATGAATATTAACCTTGCAACATTAGTTTTTACACAATGAACTTGAAAATGTTCGTTGTAGCCGAGTGCGTGAGTGACCCTTACCTATGTGGCTGAAAAATATTAAAATTGATCAATGTAATCCTGATTAGAGGAAGGAGATGAATCGAGATTTCACGAGTCCAAGCATCCACTTACAAATCCAAATAAACCACAATTTGTATATGATGCAATGCATGATACTTCGTAAAGTTAACTAAATCAGAAAATAAATTTAAAAAGTAAAAGTTTCATAACTTACCTAAACATATATAAGGCCTGCATTTTAAAAGGCTCAAAACACTAAACAACCATACACTGAAATGCCACCTTTTTTATTTTTCTAAACATAATTTATTTGAACAACCCAAAACAAACATTTTTCCGACCACTTTGGGTGCGCCCTCGTAGCATTTAACTTTATAGTGATTTCAGCACACAACGTAACACAAGAATTAAAAAGAATGTGCGAACAAGGCAGGCTCCATTTATAGAAAAATATTTGAACAAAAAAATTACTTTTCTCACTCTGTATACTGCTAGTACATAAGTAGAGGAGATCCTCTGTGCGTGTGTGTGTGTGTGTGTGTACAGAAACAAGGCCCATGGTACAACATGGCAATTGATTTAGGTTAGTTGAAGAAATAAATAATGGCAAAGAAGATGCAAGAATTCAAACTACCACTATACATGCTCTCTCTGTATATGCCTATGTTTAGGAACTTAAGTTAGTAATATCAACCGAAAAAGGTGGTCAGAGCAGCAGAAATTGAGAACCTTAGATATATGGGAGAAGATTTTGGATCTCCCTCCCCTGCCAATTCATGTATATTTGGGGTTGTGAAGCTACAGTTACAGACAGAGAAGGCTGTAGAAAACCAGAGGTATGAAGGCGTTATCAAGCTGTGCAGTGTAGGCCTCCAACAAGCCACTAACAGTCACTGCTAAGAGAAGAGAAACCCAGTTCTGCATAAAGTAGCATTAAGCACTTTGGTTAGTTTATTGATTACAAGGTGAGATCAAGCTTTAACCGGCACACTGCATTCAAAATGTCACTATTGAGCCATAACATAAAGCAAATAACACGCATAAATGCTTCGTGATAATAAGTAAACTGCTAGTATGGCTTTAGAATAAACATTTGACCAACATTTGAATCCAAAGTCACCAACTCTGATCCTTGTTTGTCCCTCTTACTCAACTCGACAGGACCTTTCCCAACTACACGGGTTGTCCACAAGAATCCTATGTTTACTTTCCAATTTCTATTCTATAAGAGGTCGTATTCTCGTGTAAAGCATAATCATTTTTAATTCATTCTCCAAGTTAATTTTACCTGCCTCTATCCCTGCTTTTACCCTCAATAGAAATAGTTTCACTTTTCTTAACCGGAGCACTCAAAGGTACTTTGTTGCATGTCCAAACCACATAAGCATATTCTCTTTTATTTAATCCTCAGTGAATGCTACCTTCACCATTGGCTGCATATGAACACTTCCTTGAGAGTTCAGATATAAGTGCTCACTCACCATGCATGACTTGTAACTCTAGTTTAAAGACCATCAACTTGACTCATTATGAACACATTCCTACAAATGATGTGCCTATATAAATATAAGTGTATCATTCACGACACAATCAAATTATTAGTTACAAGTATGCTATACTCTCTCTTGCATGCTTAATAGTGAGTTTTTCACAGTATCTAATAAAAGAGAGATTCTTAACTTTTTAAAAGATGTTATTTTAATGGAACTTCCAGCTTAACTTCTTGTGCAGAGAAGTCCAACATCCAAAAAAAGCAAGTTAATCAGCTGGCTGTTGTATGTAGAGGGAACAAATCACCTGTATTTCTGGTGCATTACTTCTATATGATTAGATCAAACGGCAAACAGCTTAAACAGAGATAGATATCAGTGGCTCTGCCAGATTTTCTTAATCAACTAAACTATATTTATCCAGTTAACTTATTTTCCGTTCATTAGATCTTTTATGTAAAAACATCCAATTTTCTTCATTAATACTTGAAAAGAAGATTCATTCCTAGACCAACAAAGTGAGGGACATTAACTTTATTTTTCTTCATTATATGACAATTTTAAGAGAACAATCTGTTTATACAACCAACAACTTCCAAGTGAATTGGACTTAGAAATTTGACCAGATTACTAGATGCTACTGGTAAACTGGAATGCTGAATAAATGAGCGTACTGTCCAAGCATGTTTGACTAAGTACATGTGTGCATGGATGCAATGCTGTTTATGATTACACACTCACATGAGCATGGGGGGAGGGAAGGAGGGAGGGAGGGAGAGAGAGAGAGAGACCTGGGCAAAAATATATCCTGTTGTTGCCAGAAGTGGAAAGAGAACAAAGCAAGCTGCAAGGACAGACGTTATGCCAGCTGCAGTGCCTTCAACAGTTTTCTCTATCAAATGAAAGTATAAGCATGGGGTTAAGAGACTTAAGAGGAACGAGGGGAACTACTGATTAGCAGGAGAAAACATACTTACTTCCTGTTTTGCTCCACCTGAGGACACCATACTTATGGCCAACTAAGGATGCCTAAACATAAAAGAAAAATTAGGCTAGACAATTATCACACACAAAAACTCCTCGTAATAAAAACAGAATTCCAGCTTATCATTATAATCTATAAGAAACAAATTCTTTTCATCAAAATTTCCTCCTTATCAAAAGTTAAATTAATCTATTTAAGGAGTTATCCTTTCCAAAGGCCAAACATTTTTATTAATTTCACGAACACTTCAGAACAGAAAGAACTGTATGCTCAGCTGTACTTGCAGGTTTCAAGCCAAATATAGGTATCATATTCAGTTGAACTTCTGGTCAATATCTTAATGCAACATTAAATATGCTTCTTAGGTCCTAGATATAGTAAGAATCTCCAGACACCAGATTGTTGCAATCAAGTTGGGATTGTTTGAATAGCAATAGGTGGTTTGAGTGTCAATGTGCATCAAGAGTTGACAAATATTGATGTTACCATGTCAAATAGGCTTTAAAACTTTTTGGATGTAAGGTATCTTAAATTACCTAATCAGAAAATCATCAAGCAACATACAAAGCAGTCTAAAACACATCTCCAGTATGTTAGGGAAAAGAACAAGGTACTTCCAAGTTTAATTTTTCTTCTGTTCTACTGAAAGGTTTTCTTCTGTTCTACTGAAAGGTCAATTGCATTATAAACCACAATCCAAGACAGCATCAGCCTAAAGTACCTTCCTGCTACTTTGAATCATCATTGCCACAATCAAGTGGATCTTCAACCATTTGCTAGCCCCACTAGGTCATAGTTAAAGCTAGCAGTTGGTAGAGAAACACATGATGATTTCATGTTTCTCAAGTGAACAACAGCTTATGTTACACAGAAGGTTGTGAGCATTAGGTATGCATCCAAATGTGGAACTTCCCTACAGTGTAAATACCCAACAGTCAGAGAGAGGGATTCCAGACATGAACACATCTGAATCGCTGAAAATATAAACTTGGTATATATCATATAGGTAAAAAACAAAAGTTAATATTGATTAGAAAGATACTTGGAATTAGAGAGTACATCTTTTATTCCCCATCCATATGAGATGATAATTATATTCCGCACTACTTAAAAATTTAAGGTTATTGTTTCAAGCATCATTATCAAAAATCTAGGCATGGGTCATACTCTCACCCTCATATATCATATTTTTCATTTGTTCAATTTCTTAAATTTTGTTTATTTATTTTCTGTTTTCCTTTTTTCCTTTTTATTTATTTTTAGACCTTTAGGTGTCAACTAAAGTCATGACTTGTAAATTCAGAAATATTCTAATTATGGTCAAATGACAAAACCAAACTAGGAAAGTAATTTCTTAAAGTTTCCACATAATGTTTTATTGCAACCAGAAACTCACCATTGTATCTCCAATTCCAAGGCTCAAGATTCCAGCAAAAGGAGCTAGAGGTCTATCATTGAACCCAGAAGACATCCAAATAGGAAGTGCACAGCCCAACAACAGTGAAAAATGGCTGAACAATGAAACAAGTCCTAATCAATTGCTTTCATTATTATTAAATGATATATGTGCTGCATATCTAGGGAATAAACAGAAATAAAAGGGCAAACCTAATAACAAGAAGATCTGAGTCACGATGATCTGTAAAAGCATTCATAAATTGATGCACAAGCCAACCCAAAGGCCAAACTCTCCACACCTGCTCATGAAAATCAAGTTTAAACAAGCTTGACCAAAAATCAGGAATTAAGAAAAGGTATATTATAATTTCAATGGTATATTATAATTTCAATAAGTTAAACAGAAGGTCCAAGAGCTACAACTACTTATCATTAGCAACACATAACTTTGGAGGATAACTGTAAAAGAGGTTTTATCAATTCATTATGATTCACATTTTAGATCAACCTCTAGGAGACTAGGACAGGATGCTGATATGATACACCATCACTTATATGTATATAAAAGCAAGGGATTTAGTGTGCTATAGGCAATTGATATGACTACCTTCTAGAGCAGGGACAGAATTTAAGCACAACAAAACCATCTCTTCAAGACAACAAACCCCAAACATTTACATTTAATTCAAATAAAATTTTTTACAGATGTCAGTTTAATTTATTTCATCTTTTTCCATATCTTCTTACAGCTACATGTGTAAGCTCACTTTACACAACGTTGGTCATGCTTATGTCTTCAAATTTTTTTTTTTTCTCCCTTTTCAAGATAAGATCCTCTTCATTAATAGTTTAACCGCAGATAGAGCTTAACACATCAAATCTCCACAGATCCACTCCCAAAGCAAATTAACACATTCCAAATAACATTAATGAGAGTGCATATGAAATTAACATGTAACAGTCTAGTTACCAATCATATGCTGAACAGAACATATTTTATTGTAAAATATGATACGAAATGTTTATACAAACATAAATGCTAATATTCATTCCTTCATCCCTCATATAGTCAAAATTTAAGGTAAATACCCGGCGTGATATACAAGCATGGAGGTGCACCAAGTTATATCACATTTTGTAGATTTGAAATCCATCTCTTTGCAAATTGTGAGTCCAAGAAAATTATGTAAAATTCAGAATTACAACCTTGATGATATGAAAGTTAATGAAGTTCACATCCCGTAAATCTCCTAAAAGCTTCAGTATATGCCAACAATTACACATGCGCTTGATACATAAATGTAAAAGGCCAGTCTTAAAATATCAGAGGCATAAATGAAATCTCAATATCAGTACCTCTATAGAAAGCTGTTTCAAATCCTTCTTTTGGGTGAAAGTGAACAGGATGCCATTTTAATTATTTCATACTATGACTCTGCCGACAAAGGCTCCAAAAACTGGGGGTAAAGAGGTTTTTTCAGGTATTCAAATCCAAGAAGTTCCATGTCAAAATGAAGCAATCTTACTAGTGTGCTAAAACTAGCCTTGTATAAGAAATTACCAATTATTATATCACCAGCAATGTTTTGATTAAATACAATCTCCATCTATGAATTACCAACAACTTACAAAGGATGCTTAGCAAATTAAAAAAAAAAAAAAAAAAGCACAGTGAGATGATAACTTACACACAATATTTAAGTCATTTACAGTTTGTCATATACTCAAACATTTAGTCTTATTATGCCATGTATATGTGTATATCAAATAGTTATGCAAACTAAACCTTCTGGTTGACATTAATTTCTTTTCCACTAATTCATATATCGTTTATAACATGTTATATTCCAATCCCAACATTTGCTAATGTCATACATACTATTTTTGGAAGTTAGCATTTCTAAACCATAAAACATTATATTCATAAAGTGCACTGAAATTCCTAATCCACTTCAAATTAATAATTTTTTCTACACAGAGTTCCTTAGGTTCCATTTGTTCCAGTTTTTCTTAAAATTACCTGGAACTTCTCTTTTTATGTATTTTATTTTTAGAAATACAAATTTTTTAAGTGCAATAGGATTTGCATAATTTACATTTGAAGCCTCAAATAGTAGAAATAATATAATAACAAGAAGGTGATGTAGAATCTGATTTCTCTAACTACACAAAGCAAAAGACAATGAGGAAGAATACCAGAAGCAAATACAAGGAGCTTACTCGAATAATCTCCAAAACTAGGAATACTGCTAAAGCTGCACCAAATGCCAGATTAAGAAATTTGGGCTGGAATAGAAAGTAAAATCAGAAGAATTTCTAAAGCAATTGAAAGAACTAGCTTAATCAAAACCAAAGGGTGCACAAAAGTTCATTCTTTCAAAATCCTAAATCACCTGGAAGATAAGTGCTGGCATAAACATACAAACGGCCATTAAATGGTAGTATTTTCGAAGAAGTATCCGCTCAATCTTGCTATTCTTTGATATATTATAAAATCTCCAAACAGACACATATATAACAGCCACCCAATAGATACAAAGTGAGAGCCTCTTAAGCGGTTCTGATAAAACAAAAGTAATTACCCTGAAAACATGAAAACAAAGAACTTGAAGACATATATTTATTACTTGAATGAAGAAATTTACATGTTAGATTACTTTGATATGCAATTAAATTAAAATTCTTCACCACAATGTATTGATTGAACTGGTCACAAATGACAGATACTAAATATTACTTGCATTAATGTAAGGTTAAAGTCCATTTTAAACACTAAAAACCCCAATTTAACCACTTATCTTTAATTGGACCAAATTGACTATCAAAGGGTTCAATTGGGCCGCATCAACCAATTTCAGCCCTCCAAGGCAAAGCATCATTAGACACCCCCTGTTCCATAATCTCATCCTATATCCCACCTAGCTGGCTGTCTCTTGCTCTCTTCTTTCCCATTTCTTTGTTTCTTTATTTCTTTATACTTATTATTCCTTGCACTCCTCTCTCTCTAACCCTCCCTCACGATGACTGGCCAAGGAGAACTTTGACAATGATAGAAACATTGTAATGCAAAGGGAAAGGCTGTTGGGGGGATGGGGTGAGTAGGTTATCATCTCTCCTGCATTGAGCAATTTTAGAGAGAGAGAGATGCTGAGGCTTGGAATTTGGATATCAAAGACCTGCTTCCGGACTTGACTACCAGGACCAATACCAGAGAGAGAGAAAATCTAAAGAGAAAGACAAACGGGCAAGAAGTTTTAGCAGAAACCGCCTAAAGGATGATCCAATGCTTGAAGCCATCTTTGATGACATCAGAGTCATGCCTCACTTCCCAAAACAGGTTTCTTTCTGCTTAATTACTACTACATTCCTCCTCCTCCTCTATATATATGTTGAGATATTTATTTATAAGCTTTCTCAGAACATATAAAACTTCAAATTGTTTTTCAGAATAATGTTTGAAGACATAAAACCTTTGTTTCTGAATCTCAACGCTTCCAAGGACATTATAGATATGTTGGTTGATAGACACAGGTAAATGGCATCATTGTTGTCAGAGGCCATGCGTAAGTTTTTTCTACGCTGTGTGTGAGTAGGTTGAGTGTGTGAGAGCTAGAGAAGGGAGGGGGGGGGGGGGGGGAGGATGGATCCATGTATTAAAGAAAATCTAAATTTTCAATTTTACACTCCTAGTCCATTCAATCTATGTGCCGCTCAAATTTGGTGCTGATTTGGCCAATTGAACCATTTTGATGGCCAATTTGGTCCAATTAAAGATAAGCAGTTAAACTCGTCTATCATGCAAATAGTGGCCAAAATGGACTGCAACCAAAATGAAAAGTTACATGAAAAAAAAAAAAAAAAAAAAAAAAAAAAAAACAACAACAACAACAACAACGTTGAGTCTACTAATTGAGATAATTTTGCAGGAAAATATACAGATACATTAGGATCCATTTCATGTTTATGGTGCATTAAATCAATACCCTGGATATATTATAATTATGCAAGCATCCAAATATTAGAAAGATCATGAAATTTTTTATAAATAATACAAAAACGGCATGGATATTTCGAACACTTGAGTGTATCAGTTCTCTACAATATCAAAGAAAACATAGAAACTGCATAAATTTGATGAACAAGAATGATCTATCTATATGGAATATGAAAATGAGCAGTATATAAATGGTTTCACCAAGAACTACAACAAAACTACATACTTGGATTATCAATTGTTATTATATTTATAGCATTTTAATCACACTAAGTTAGTAAGCTACCTATTTGATGGAAAATGACCAAATGGTGCTATGTTATTGAGTAACAATATAGAACATCCACATTTATATAGATTTTCAATGTCAGTATCTTAATAGGAGAAAAGAAACCCGGAAAAACCAAGTGGTTTTTCTGATATGTAGGATAGTTGATAGGAAATGCATGAAATTTGAGGCCAAAAGCCAGTCTACACTGTTTGATTCCTTTTAGGTCTACTATAGTAGCAAAGCCATACAAACGAAGGGAGAGGATGATATATAAACCCAAGAGCCCCCATAAGAGAGGTGAATGACTAAACACTTGGGGGCCAGAGAACCCTGTATGTGCTCCGGATTCTACTGGTCGTTAAGTACAGAAACATTCAAATAAGGCATGGTTCTCTGTTGTGGCAATAGCAAGGATAATTTAGCCCCTAACACTGTAAAATTGAGGCTTGGCCCTTTTTCGACCCTGTTTCAAGATTCTTCTACAAAATTTGATAAAGTGATAATCATAAAAAAGCCTTAGCTACAGATGTTAAAGGAATGTCATCCATAAAAATAGATTTCTTATTTAATGAATCCAGAATTATCTTTACATTCTTGTAATTTCACATTCATGAACAAACTAGGGCCAATTCAACTTAGCCTTAATGCATGCACAGATGGTTATTTCCTTTTTCTTTCCTTCCTTGAGTAGAAAAATGCATTAAGACATGTATATGGCTGCAACTCAAAAGTATCATGACTTGATGAACTCAGTGGGGGGGGGGGGGGGGTTGATGTAGGTGTGTGGAAGAAAGCTTTGGCATGTCTGCTGGTACATAATTACTTTGAAATCTTCTTGAAATTATAAAATTTTTGGGAAAAAAAAAAGTCTAAGGCGATTTGCAACTCCTTAGTTTCTTTCTTCAAAAGAACCAACTTGGACTCTAGAATTCCTAACATCTCAGAGTTTCACTGGGGCCTGTCAAGTTCCAGAAGAGATCCAAACAATGTTGACTTTTGAAACCAGATATTATAAAGAGAGTGCAATATATGAAAATAAGTAACAACAGCACATCCATGATATTTCTATCAGCCACAGAACTACGGAACACATGCAAATGCAACAGAACCAACTCTAAAATTGCTACATTCAAGAGACACAACATGCAAAAGGCTAATACAGCTAAAATATACTATGGCATCAACATAGAAGCACGTGATGATGCAATAATACCATAACAGAGGATTCCAATGAAAATCTCCAACAAGATGCATCCATTTTAGTATGATTAACACTGTTGACTTTTATAGCCAGATATTCTGAAGAGAATGCAATATATTAAAATAAGTACCAACAGCACATCCATGATATTTCTATCATCCACTGACCTAAGAAACACCTGCCAATGCCAGTACCAGAACCAACTTCAAAATGCCTACACTCAAGAGACACAACATGCAAAAGGCCAATACAGCTAAAATGTAATATATTATCAACAGAGAAGGTTGTGATGATGCGTTAATACCATAATATAGGATTCAAATGAAAATCTCCAACAAGCTGAATCCATGTTGGTGTGATTGCAATCAAGATGAATGCCAGGGAAGCATAAAAAATGACAGAGCATCTAATATGATGGTTTCTGCTTTCCACTGAAGATGCTGGACTGGTAAAGCGTTCCCAAATTTGGATAATAAATTTAAAGAATACTGGAAAGATAAGGAGACCAAGCACTATGCCCTGCATACGAGGAAATATATATATTAAAGAAAAAACAAAGAGGAGGAGGAGGAGGAGACGTAAGATCCAGTCACATTACTTATAAGCAATATCCCTTCCTCACTCACTAACTCACCAGACTCTCTACCTCATCAGGGGACAATATTACCTGAATAATGATGCTTATCTCACTTCTTTTGACTCCATATTCTACAAACAGAAGCGCTGATGATGTCAAATGTCCATGAATCTGCTTAAAAAAGAGCATGACATTAGAAATAAGATCATGTTGCTATCTAATCTAAAAAAAGTAGTACCAGTGAGTATTTCAAAGGACTCTAAACCGATTTTCTTCAAATGCTTAGTTCTAAAAGAACTAACCTTTGAATAGGTGAGTGTAAACATGTCCCCAAAATATAAAACAAGACCAGAAGTCACCAAAAGTGCTTCCCCTAAGAAGAGATAAATAACAAACACTAATATTAGACAACATAACATCATATTTTAATAATTAACAAGAATGAACTGCCAAAATAAAGAAAGAGAACTAGCCAAATAACATTCTCATCCTTACCGTAATAACACTCGGGGATAATTTGATGAGTTAAAGGAAAACAGTGAAAGTGTGCAAATACCCCATTAAAAAAAAAAAAGGAAAGTAAGAATGTAACTAAAGGATAATGATTTTCTTGGATGTATGAATTCATGATTTTTAGTAAAGAAAGCCTCTTCAGTCTGTTACTCTTATTTCAGATTCTGAGTGCCTAACCTCACCTTATGTGAACATGACTGCAAGAATTTGTGCCTTCAATGTTACAATACTAATAAAACTGAATATAAATCACCGGATATGCAAATATAGAAGAACCTCTTAGAAAACACATTATATGCACTCAGAAAAAATATTTAAAAATACTTAACGAGCACGCACACTCACAATTTTCACAAGCTGATGCTATTCTTGGTTGAAAGTTTAATTTCTCTGAAACTTAGCAACTTTTTCAAATACTGAAACATTCATATTGAATTATTCAATATCTTGCTCTTGTAAATTTATTAACTTTGTGAATAACTGAGTATTCACATTGAACCATTAACAATTTGTCAAATTCATCAAATTATTAAATAGGAATGTAACCCTTGAAATTATGATGGATCCAAGCATCAAAAACTGTACAATGTTTTTTCATTCATATACGAAAGATAGGGTATTTAGTTTTGCAATACTTCTGTGGGGCAAATTCCACATCCATAGAATTTTCTGGAGAAATGATCAAGAATAGCTTCTCTCCTCCTAGTGGGACAAGTACAAGATTTCCATATGGGAAATAGTAAAAGTGTTTCCATTTACCAAGAGATGAATTATTATACAATAGAAGCAATAAAATTTTAGTGTTCCTCTAGGAACAAATTGAGACATATCACAACAAACCCCACAAAAAATGAAATAATGAAATATGTTGAAACAATAAAACTAAGTCAACATAAAATCGTTCTGCTCCAAATATTTCACCTATTTATTTTTTGTTTCCTTCAAGATGTTTCTATATATTCATAAGCATTTCCAGAGAATATCTATAAAGCCTTTCTGGTTCCTTGCTAACTGAAGAACACATCTTCACATGAAAACAAAATTTCAGCCCCTGCCAGTGTTGGCAGGTTAGAAACTTCCCTGCAAAGTAGCCTCTCCTTCCACAAATAAATAACACAAAAAAGGGAGTTTGCTTTAGGATTGCCATAGCTGAAAAAATGAGGATTACGGGCAAAACAATGAGCAATAGAGCTTCAAGAAGCACTTCTAGCACATTGATTGCAATGCAAATCCAGAATGGAGAAGGTAGGTTGAGTTAACCTGATTACGTGCAACAAAATTAAAGAATGTTTCAGGAAGATCTCATTTGTGCAGGGTAACTAGAGTGACTATCAACAGATTCAATTGGACACAGTGGAGTTGCACAAGTGGAAAATGCCCAATGCTGAACCCAAGCTCATGGTCAGAGCTTTGCTCGTCAACTTGAATAACAATCAATTCTCCCCTCAAATTCAGACTAGGACAAGGAGATCAAATATATACATGTTATTTGTCAGACAGAGTAAATAGGCCCTCAAGGAAACCAATGATAACAGAAATATAGTTACTGCCTACTTTTGGCACTGATGAGAACCAAGTTTAGAAAAGAATTTTTTTTTTTAATGTAAGTGTAAAAATAGAAATAAGTCAATCTATTGTCCAATTTACTAAATGAAAATGCATGCATCAAAGAACAACTAAATCAACTGTAGCTGTATACAGTTTCTTTTTGGGTAATGAAAGAGGTAACTGCATCATCTAACAAAACCAGATGATATAATAGAATAATATAACAAAGGAAGCCATCTGATAATTAAAAAAAAAAAAAAGCTACAAACCAATTGAGGCACAATATGGGAAAGTATGAAGCACATGTTGAATTAATCTCACAGCAGCAAAACCTTGACAGAGCAACCATAACAACTTTAATGCCAGAGACCAGCCTGTAAACAGAGCATTATCAATGTGAGTCATCAACAATTCATAATTTGACCTAGAATATTGAAACACAACATGGACCAGTTGGGATAAATACTAAAACACATCTTCAACAACTATAAAAGTCTTTATAGTTCCTTGTTGTACCGAAATAAATGGGAGATTAAAAAAAATTAGAGAAGAAGGAAGTTTGATACCAAAATGTGATTTTGTAGCAAAATCCACAAAGCATGCTGCTGCATAAAGAGCTATGCAACTTATGCTAATCTTTACACCCCAATAACCGTGTGCTGCAACAGGATGTATACTGCTAGACTGTGGTCGAAGAACAAAGCCAAGGAATACAAGGACACTGAAGCAGCAAGCAGATGCAGCCCAATATTGCAACCGAAGATATTCAAGCTCTGTGGAAGGAAAACTCAAATTGAACTGCAAATATAAGGTAATATTTGTATAGGAAAAAAAAGGCAATAAGAAATAAAAATGACAACGACATGAAAATTCCAAATTTCAACTTGGACAGGAAAAGTTGGATTCTCCAAAGTGGAAAATAAATTTGGATATATTTGTGAACATACAAACATGTGATTCATTGTTCTTCTCCTCCAGTCTCACTCGTTAAGAAAACTTCTTCTATGCCAAATGATCAGAACTTCTCTAATACCTTTGGAACTTCTACTTTTATTTCCTTAGTAATTAATTTTGTATGGTATAGGAAAAGGAAGTCAGAAACACCAATATCCAAAGTCCATGACAATGTCCAAAACCGTGATTTATTATGTAAGATGTGACAAAAATGTACCCAAAATTAAAAGGTGCTAGTGTCTGAAACAAATTGATCCTTCTCAAAAGTGTAGGTCTGCCCAAATTTTTATTTGCAATACCCTTATTTGCACTAACCCTTCTAAAATAAAGACAATTTTCATTTGAAAGAAAAAACAGGTGTTCAGTTCAGAGAAATTTCAATGAAATATTACCAATTTAACCCGTGGCCAATACAAAAATGAACAGTAAGGAAGTTACCTTGTTCTGTTTGGGTCTTTCTGGCTTTCATTACATACTTCGCCATTAACAACTAAACATATGGTTGCCATTCTCAGTCATAGTAGCTGATGACCTAACACTGAGAAAACCCTAAAAGGCCCTTGATAAGAGTTCATGAGTCTTATCCTGGTGTACAAGAATTTAATCTTCTAAAATTTTGTAAACATATATTACCACCTTTGTTTTACCAACAAAGCGTAACTCCAAAGGAAGAATAAGACAAACTGAATAGGGATTTCCCAACCCTGGAATACAACAGTACCACTTGCAACCTAAACGACCCCTAGTTCACTGATATTCATAACAGCCAATCTGATTTATTGCCAGTGCCACTAGTTCCACGGGTAGCAGTAAATTCATCAAGCCTATAGTATGTCATTAAATGCTATGCCACCAATAGCACTCAAACTGATAATAAAGAACTTTACCTTCAAAGCCAGTTTGCTGTAATGATAGAACTCTCGACAGTTGTATCAACTTTGAGATCATAAGACCTGGTAGTGTGACAGTTCCCAGTAGAATCCCGGACGAAGCTCCTGGCCTAAAATATTTAAAAAATTATGACAACAATCAACATTTATATAGCCCAGAACAAACTGAATTCAATCGTATCTGCAGAACGTCCAAAATTCGGCAGATAATAACCCAAGTTTAACCTCAAACGAGAAACCCTAACCGTAAAACGTGATTTAAATGGATAAAGAGCTAGAATTGAGGGGAATGCATGCCTGATCTTGAATTGGTCGAGTGAATTGGAAGATTCGGCGAATATCTCGAGGAATAGGGCGAAGAGGGTGAGGAGAAAGAGGAAACAGGACTCCGATAGGAGAGAGAAAGGAGTGGCCACGAGGATGGGGGAGATGAAGAGAACAACCACGGCTCTCTCGCCGTTCAACAGCGACGAAGCCATGGCCGTTCTCATTTTCTAAGTTACGCAGAAAATTCAAGGATCAGGCAGAAGAAGTAGCGGCAGAGAAGATGATGATGAGAGAGAAGGAGACTTGGCAGTTGGCGCGCATCAGGTACCCTGTTCCATTCAGCCGTTGGAGAACTGAGACGAGGGCTGGGCTGGGGTCCGGTTCAACGCGTGACAGTTTGTTGACCGGTTTGTCCCTGTGGGCGCTTGCCAATGACTCTGTCAAGGAGTTTAGCACGCGGCCTTTGATTTTTTTACCGTTTCATTCAATTTTAGGGAAAAAAAAAAGTAAACAAAAGGGTCCTTTTTTTTGTGTACAAAAGGAAAGATTATAGAAATTACACCAACTGCTTCAGTTAGTTAGCAGGAGAGGTCTACTGATATGGAACACTTGGCTGTAGAGTTTCTAAAATATGATGAACAAAAAAAAAATTAGAAAGAAGAAATGTTTTCAATCACATGTTTAATTTAGGATAGGATTTTGTGATGAAAACTATTTTATTTTTGTAGGAGGTTATTTTACTTATTTTATATTGATTTTAAAAGTTTTTATTAAGAATTTATTATACTGATTGTAAGAGATTTTATTAGAAAATTATTTTGCTGACATTTAAAAGGAGATTATTCTATTTTGAATAGAAGAATAATATATTGATTTGTTTCAATTTAGACAAGAAAATGTCACGTTGAATTAAGCCTTATTTAAGATTATCAATATCCTATAAATAGCTAATATACTATTCTCCTATGAACATAAAATAAAGTTACAACTTCTCCCCTTAAAATAAGTATTTTAAGTTCTTGTGTTTGAAACTTATTAATTTAAAGGAAAAGTCAAGCACTAGCCAGTGTTTCACACGCATACACTACATCATACAAGGGCCTGCAAAGCATTGTCTAAATTAGAAAGATTAGTATTCTGATTGATTCTAGATTTAGTAAGAAAATCTGTACAAGAATTAATTTTTTACAAAACATGAGAAACTGTAAAAAATTATAAACATTGAATAAGTTCCAAAATATTAATAATAATAATCCCATACAAATGAAAACTCAATAATGTGTAAGAAGAGACTAGTTTGACTGTCCCAAAAAATATATTTTCACGTTAAACTTGATTATAACTTAAATTTTAAACCAATAATAAGTCCTATTTAATAGCTAATAATTCAGCTTGTAATATATTAATGTTATGTACTTAAACAATAAATCTGAAATACAATTTATACGCGAAGAACAAATTATTCCAGCAATCCCAGCTATAAGAGGACTACCTTGACAATTATCAGCCATGTTTACTTTAACACATGAATTAGGAAACTGATTTTAACGAACTGCTCAATAATCAGAGTCTACAAAAGTGTAGGTGTGAAGAAACTGAATATACTCTCTTCTAGAAATCTCACTCCTTCTTAGAACCTTCCAGATATCCCACTTATCCTTTCAAACACTATATTGCTCTTCCAGCACCATGTCTACCACAAGGAGACCAAGAAAAAAGAATTATCTTAATTGTTGCTAGACATATTAGTCCTCCATTTAACCATGTCATTAATAAAAAAGCCAGGAAACAAAGATAAACCAACTCTGAATCAAATTTCACAAAAACATTCACAATCCCATAAACATTGCAAGAGACTCTTATCCTAAGCCAACAATGAGGACATATAACAGACACCTGTAGACCATGAGGAGCCCAGAAAACATTTGTCAGTAAGGCTCCTAGAAGAATAAGCAAAATAATAATCTTAAGGACCCTGAGAGACGTTGGTGTGTGTGTTTAATCTCTCCTAATTTTGAAATTTTTGAGTTTTGAAATTATGATTGATTCCTTTTAATCAGAAAAAAATAATAATAATTTTAAGTTTTTGAAGGGCTTTTAAGCCCCACACTCTCTTCCAAGAAATATTAAAATCCCAACTTGTCTGACCTTGCAAATGTCATGAATAGCTAGTTAACGCTGAATAATCCCTAGACAAATATTCATGCCATACCCAACAATTTTCAAACTCACTAAAAGAAAGAATCAATAACATAGAAAATACTTTTTCAAAGAAAATGATGATGAAATGCTAAATATTTTAAATTTCAAAATGCATCTAACAGAAGGGGTGAAATAAAAACTACTTATTTTTAATCATATTAACATTTAATAATAAATCATTTAAATTTTTGTAAAATTTTTAATTAAATACTTGTTTGGTTGGTAGTAAATTAAATTTTAATGCCCACCCATCCCAATTCATTTTTGGGCAAAATTGAGCAAAAAGAAATGGAATTGCTACTCTCTAATTTCATGGGAGGAGGACGTGAGGAGAATGACTAAATGCAAGCATCCTACCTTCCTTGAAATATAATTGTTAAAAAATATTATTAAGAAATATTATCTGTTTTATTAAAATAAAATTAAGAAAAATATATTTAGATATTATTATTAAAAGTAAGAGATTATAATTATTATAAATAAAAATAAGAAAATTTATTATAATCTCATAGATATCTATAAATACACTTACATGATATACATTTAATAAGTTGTAGCAACAACTAGCACAATATTATTCGAGTCCACACTGATTGAATGGCCAGCAATAATATTAAATATATTATTCCTGTTTAATAATACAGAAAATACTTTTTTCAAGAAAAATAATACTGAAAATGCTATAATTTTGAATTTTTAAATGTATGTAATAATTGGGGTGAAATAAAAATTATTTATTTTTAATCATATTAACATTTAGCAATAAATGAATTTATTTCATTTTAGATTTTATATTAAATATTTGTTTGGTTGGGAACAAATTTTATAGTAAAAAACACTCATCTCCTTTCAAATTTATTTAAATAATATTTAACTACATTCTTATAACAAAAAAATATTTTTTCTTTTGACTAACTATTGGTTAATAATTATTAACGATTTAAAAAAAAAAAGATAAGAGTAACCCAATTTTACATATTTTAATTACTCATCTGATTAAAAATTAAATTATTATTTGATTTATTTAAAAATTATTTTTTAATTTATTATTTTAATTTTTTTAAAAAATATATAATTTTAGATAATTTAATTTTTATTATTTTTAAATTTTTAAATAATTTCTACTTTATTTGTTTAATTTTATTTAAATGTTAAAATAAAAGCGACTGATTTTCATTTAACTAAAAATAATAAAATTAAATTATCAAAAGTGACATGTTTTAATTATTTTTTAAAATTTAAAAATAATAAATTTAAAAAATAATTTTCAGTGAATCAAATAATATTTTAATTTTTAACTAGATGAGTAATTAAAATATTAAAGTATGTAAAACTAGATTACTTTCACATTTTTTAACAAAATTATTAAATAATTATTAATTAATAATTATTTTAAAAAAATTATTTTTTCATAACGAGAACAAGTTTAGGTTTAAGTATTATTTAAATAAATTTATAGAAAATAAAATATTTTTATCCTAACTTATATATTTTAATATTCACCGACTCCAATTCCTTTTCGAGGGAAAAAAAAAAAAAAGAAAGAAAGAAAGAAATGGAATTGCTAGTCTCTCGTTTCGTTGGAGGAGAACCCGACGAGAATGAATAAATGCAAGCCACCCCCACCTCCTGGGGATAGTCAGCACAATATTTTTCCAGTCCACATTCATTGAATGTCCAGCAAAATATAGAATTTCCATCTTATCCAAATTTTATATCTATTGAAATTTATATAAATAATTTTGTTTTATTAATTTCATATGAAAGACTTAATATTTAATATGACAATTTCTTATTATTTATCAACTCCATGCTCCAATATTCCTTGTCGTAGCGGGGTCCGAATGGATATTGATTTACACGTTTTTATCGTTCCTCCTTAGAGCCTTGAACCATTTATAGGTTGGGACCCTCTTCTTTGTTGATTTTATAAACATGGAATCCCACATTTTAATTATAAACATGTCACAGCAGGTGACATGGATGAAATGCCAACCGAAGAAAGGTACAGGTTTGGCAGCTACTCTTCTTGTTGCAGCGGAGTCCGAATGGAAATTGATTTACGCGTTTATAGCGTTCTTCGTGAGAGCCTCGAACCATTTAGAGCTTGGGACCCTCTTGTTTGCTGATTATTTAAATATAGAACCCCACTGATTTTATTTCCTTTAATTGCATCCACAAGAATATAATCATTTCAATGAATTTATGGACTTCTTTACTTCAAAAATATCTCTCGCAAGATGAACAATGCGTTTCAAAAATCACGTGCCTTTACACTTCAAAAAAAAAAAAAAGAAAAAACCAGGAAATGAGCAAACAGAAACAGACCTGTTTTCTGAAAATTCTCCCCATCATAGGTTTCCAGAAAATGACATGGCTAACAGGCCATCTGTTTCCAAAATCAGAAACTTGTTTTTTAAAAAACAAACCCACCTCTATGCAAGCGATCCACCAGCTTCAACGCAAACATGGAAGAGGAAAGAATCAAATTCAATGCAAATTAACCCTTCACTCTTCCACTGGTTGCTTTTCTAGCAACCTTATCACGAGGCTGATTTAATTAATGACATGATGCTTAATTCTTAAGCATCCAAAAATCTAATTAGGCATGAAATTTATGCAGTCCATTCTAAGATACTTCAGTAGCTTGCCCAAAAATGTTTTTGTATTTCATTCCAGGTGTCTTTTACAAAAAAGCAAAGCACAAAACAGGAGGATTTATAAAATCTGAGCCACCAAGGTAGCAGATTATGCTTCCATTTATCTTGCATTGTTTGTGCTCTTATTACACCAGAACAGTCTACGTGAAGATAAGTTCTTTCTAACACAAAATTGTAGCAAAAAGAACACAAGAACACGGTATCCAATGGCCATGAGAAACAACACGAGTAAATTCTCCCACTTGGAATGACCGTTGGGCGAAGTCTCGTATGAACTTTGCAGGGCTTGATAACCAGATATTGTCCTCACCTGCCCAACTGCAAAAGAAGTCCCATTGTATTCATTCTCCAAGAGTCCCTGAAATACAAGCACCAAACAGCTGTCAGATCCATATCAACCTTCAAATTTTAAAGAAGCTATCTTGAATAAACAAAAGTTTGCTAACTACTTCCACGTATTCTAATAAATCAAAACTATGAAGTAAATTTACATAAGGGTGAAGATCCTAAATTCATGAAATTGTGAAACAAAATTTAAATCGTATATATGTCCAAAAAATCAAGAAGGGCATGTTTCCAAAATAATGGAAGAGAGTAACTGGGGTAAATTTATGAAATTGTGAAACAAAATTTAAATCGTATATATGTTAAAAAATCAAGAAGGGCATGTTTCCAAAATAATGGAAGAGAGTAACTGGGGTAAATTTATGAAATTGTGAAACAAAATTTAAATCGTATATATGTTAAAAAAATCAAGAAGGGCATGTTTCCAAAATAATGGAGGAGAGTAACTGGGGCATTGTGACTGATAGTGGGAACGAAAGCAGAAAAACATATGCCATTTGAAATTCAACTTGCCTGGATAGAGTAAGTATGGAAGGCAATATAGGAGATTGGGTACATCCATACTGGTCCTGGCAAAGCACTCCGACTTCTGAAATAGCCAGCTGAAAGCATCATTAAAACCTGCAACACCATACATATAAACCATCAGACAGCAGGGGAGGAGAGGTTATCCAGTTTCTTAAATAATCAACCCTATGACAACCATGTGGGCTTTCAGCGATTCTTTTAAATGATTATTGACCAAACAAAAACCTCGATGAATCAGAAAGATAGAATGGTGAAGGTTGAGGAGTGATATAATTCAAAGAACAAGACAGAATGCCTATTACACAAAGACAGTTGCACTAAGCAAGATATATGGGAAAATTGATGGCAAGAAACTGACATGACTAAACAACAACAATGCAGATGTGAGCTATCTCGAATGGATCTAAAATTAAGACTTACATTTATGCACAACAGAGTTAAGATACTCCAGAAAATGTCTTGCCAAATGGTAACAACAGACATAATTAGTCCTTCATTTGCTAACAGGCACATGAAGAAGTTGAGAACAAAGTACATCAACAAGTTGAACTGGTCCCGTAACCCTATCAGGAAATAGAAGACAAGTCCAGAAGAAATGGATACAAGGAACAAGAAAGGGATACTGGAAAGGAGTTGCCCAAGTAAAAAAACCAATGCCCCTGAGTGCTGGTTTGACTGTTCACAGGCATAAATCTGCACCAGAAAACGAAATTTGATTATTCTAAATGACTTGAATGCTTGTAAGAAGTATTGTGCTACTACCCACACAACAATATACAGTTTGGCTTATTTATCCAAATCATAACTTGTGCTTCAGATGTCTAAAATTTGACACCAACAAGAAAACCTATGCTGCATCATTAATATTAGCCATATGGAACTGTCATTGTAGGTGGAATAGTTGAAGTCATCTATTCAGGTAAGCACCAAACTCACAAGGCTGTCTAAGAAACAAAACGAATATCAACATGCACACTCAAGTTACCACTTCTGTGTCTCCAAGATGTCCTGATTTCAAAGAAAATATACAAATACATAGGCACATAATCTGTATCACGCAAAAGATAAATGGCACCCTCAGGCTTATTATTGGCATTTTTTGCAGTTTACAGGGCTTCAGATGTCCAAAATAGAACCAATCAACAAATCATGCAAAGACTGCATGCTGTAAGAACATTCTGCTGTCTACATTATGAAGGCAATGATATTACTTCCTTTCTGATAAAAGCACAACTGCATTCTATTCAAGGAAGAATTTTAAGATATTACCTAATGTAAGCCACTGAGGTAATAAGAAACAAACAATTGAAATTGGCAAGGTGTATATATTTTACAGATATCAACTTCCTCAAAGATATCCTAAATTTGAAGTTAAAAATCTGACCATGTTTTATAAGCAACCAATAAGCATTCAGTAAGAAAAATATGAAAACCATATGCAATCCTTGAGCTGATGAAAAGGTGCTTGACAATTCAGTCCACTCATTTTGACAACTGCAACTATGACCCAACAAAATGACATATACCAAAATGCTCTAAGTTGTGCATTATTTGCATTCTGCTTTTCTTCCATTTCAAACATTCTTGTGAATACCCCCAATAACTTCAACAACCACTATCATAAGTCTGCACAGGTACCTAACAAACACAATTCCTATCCAAATGCTATTTTCCTGAATAACTAGACAGTAACAGGTATAATCATCATGATTTTTAGATGCAGCTTCCAATACATAATTGTAGAGAAACGTTTATTGGTTACCTAGTTTGCTTTGCCATATATTCCAGGTTTAGAATGAAGTGGAAAAATGTAAAGAGTGGTTTCAAACATAATCAACTATGGCCTAGAAGTTTGATGGACTCTCTAAGCATGATGATTGACAATTAACTGACACATTATTGTATTCATTAACTTGCATTTGGAGAATAAATGAATTAAAACTTTCAATAGAAACTTGATAAACCATTATGCTATAAACCATTCATGTGCTGGTGAAGATAGACATGATATAATTTGACTATTCTATTCCCTCAAATGACTTCTATTGAACTCTGTTTCATCCTTTACATGTATATTAAGAAAAGAAACTATATGTATCTGCAATCAGTACTGATAAAAGGTCTCAAAATTCTTTCAATACCTTGGACAGATGACAAAAAATAAAAAATATTGACAAAAACAAGCTGTCAGGAAAGATTACCTTGATTTCTTTCATATGCGCGGGTACTCCAGCGATGCTTAGAAGGGAGGTGAAAGATATGAATACAAATATTGCAGCTACTCTAGTCTGAAATTACAGATTAACAATAGTAAAAATGTCAGGCATGTTACAACCAAGAAACAGGAAGCAAATGCAAAAAGATGGACACAAGAGAAGCAAAGACACCAGTTCAAGAGTTATGATTTTATAAAGGATATATATTTAAGTTATATCAACTTCCAGCCTCCTCAGAATAAAAAGAGACTAGCAGGAGAAGAATACAATTCACAAGCATAATTGGCCAAAAGCAAGAAGCAACTGAAGCTTAGCAATACATGGAAAATAATATCAACCCGCAAACTCAAGAAAACATGATGTCAAATTATGCATCAAGCTAGAACTGATGGAGAATATAGAATTTATGGTATATTTAAGAACATCAAGTCCAAATTAGTGCCTCCCTACAATTGCATCAAACTTCATACAGGCCTATTTTGATGCAGATCTGGAAGAAACAGAAATTTAAGAATTTAGGGTTTTTGTTATTTTACTACTGTCAGAATTTTATTTGTAATGATAATTTAATTTTCTAATATTTTAAAATTTTAATTAGTTTAAGATATTTGTTTATGATAAGGACTTATCTTTTAAAGTCATCATTTAGTGAGAAATTATCTTTTATTTTTAAGTGTTATCTTAGATTCAGACTGATCTTATAGGATTAGGATTAAGAGACATAGTGGGATTAAATTTAGGATTCTTTTTCTATTTATTTGTAATTTATTTCTTCATTAATAAGAAACAGTTAATTATAAAATGAGTTTGTGAACTTGCGTATGTTGATCCCTTTGAGAGGGATCAACCCACCCAGAAAGGAAGAAAAATGTTTGCTTTCAGATTAACTTTTTGTTTACATTTCCTTTTATTTTTTCTCCACAAATCACAACGTAAAGTTGGAAGATAAAAAGTATCCTGCAACTGAGGACTCCTAAAAATCTGAAAGAGAAGTGTTTTTAGCTTTCCATAGAATAAAAATCACTCCAGCACCTCTGATTGCACAACATAGTCACAATGACAAGTCACTCTTACCTCAGTTTCATTTTCACTTCATCCTAGAACAATTTTCCCTAAAGATCTGGCAATCAGCATAGGCAAAGAAAAGAACTTAAGATTTTCTAACAAATGAAAATAAATTGTTTTCCTAGATTTAAAAGCTCTTTAATAGTATTCCATCTAAGACAAAAATCTTAAAAACAGAACTGCAGATTTGAATATATAGCACAAATACACAGAATATGATATCTCTGGGTAGCAGAACTCTTTGGGTAGATACATTATCACAAAAGCTTTGTAGGGAAAAAATATGCACGCACAAATTACACACACTTGCATAAGACATCGATAGGATTGAGATTTGAGAAATTAGAAAGGAAAAAGAGAGAAAAAAAAAATGATGAACAACCATTCAATTTTCAACATAAAGCTAGGCGAGATTCAATATAGAAGGTGAAAAGTGCTTAGTATTTGGTTAAGAGAAGCTTTATTGATTAACACATATATCAATTGCTTGCTAAATATCTGCCATTTAATTTTATAATGAAATGGACAAAAAAATTCAGGTTTGAAGAAGCTCACCACAATAGATGACAAGGAATGCCCTAATCCAGAAACACAGTCCCAACACTAAGTGTAAGAAGCATACAGAGAATCAGCCTAAGCCAGTAGTATTTCCATTCTCTTGACATAATTAATAAAGATCTCCAAGTCAAAACTGCAATTCGTGTGGCAATGCTTGCCTTCCCCTTGCTTTTTAGAGATGGACCCTCCTGCAGTAACAGTAGCAATTAACCAATGTGTCACTAAAGATTATAGATCGAAGAAGCTCCCTCTCAGGAAATCAAAGCACTCATTCGCACCTCAGAGGTAATGCAGGTTAAATGCAGAACAGGCATGATTTCAGGGAAGAGATAGCACATCAAGAGAAGAACATTTAGAAACTTGTAGTTTGGATTTAGCTTCAGGTACAAATTTAAAATAATCAGCATATTTGCAGGAAATGGAAACACAAGGAAATTGGAGGACTGGCAGAAAGCACACAATTTTTTTTTTTTTTGGGTTGCAGAAGAAAGGCATACTTGGTATCCAAAGGAATTAGTTTTTGATAACGAAGAAATGCTATGTGTTACATTACAAGAAAATCCTGCCTAAGTGAAAGAATATCATTTGGGAGGGGGGGGGGGGGGTGCAGCGTGGTTGGGGCACATACCTTTTCAGTGAGTTTTAATATCATAGTTTCAACAGCAGCAGCATCTGCAGATGACTTATAAGTTGCTTCGAGGGTGCGTATTGCTACAGCAGTGTCCATATTTACAGATGAAAAATCTCCCCCATCATCCTGTAAAAATAATTCACTCCATGTAGCATAAACATACCAAGAAGGGTAAAAAGGGCTAAAGTTTACAGAAAGAATTACATTTAAGCTCTCAAAGTAGAAAGCATATAAAACAGGGAAATAATTCATGCTTCATAAAATGGTTTTAAACACCATTGCTCATCCTCTATATCATAGGCAAAAACGAAATAACCTCAAACATCTAGAGCTATTATTTAATGGTTTAATACAAATGTAAAAACTCTTTCTATGAATCCTGAGAGAAGTTCAGATTATAAGGTAACATGAACACAAGTACCTGCCAATTTTTGCACATTGCAATAATCCTGTCAAAGTCTGTGTTTATTGCACGTAAAAAGTGATCAGACGGACTTTGCATAATTGGGCAAGGAAATCCAGCATTTGAAAAGTGCTACATCAAAGGAAGATATTTTAGTAATAAGCACCATAATCAATGAGGAGAGAATAAATAAAACTTCAACATTTTAAATGTTGAAGAAAAATATTTAATTTCATTACCCCATACTACCTTATTCATGAATTATAATGAAAATAATTTTAGTAGACAGTATGCTAAACAAGTTTTCTCACCACCACTTCTACCAATGTCCATTACTGTCCAAACTATGAAGTATCTTGCATTTAGCTCTCAATTATTGAATGCAAATCTTCACACAATCAACTCCAAATCATTGAAAAAAAAACTTCCAAAAAAACCTAAATTGAAAAAGGAAATCAGATGAAACCCAGTGATGTATACCTGCAAACATGCCAATGTCTCTCCAAAAAACAGTGTGTTTCCATTTGAAAGCAGGCAGATACGATCAAAGAGACCAAATACTTCCGTGCTGCTCTGGTAGATAGTGAATATAAGAGTGCATCCAGTACTAGCGAGTTTTTTTAGTGTTACCATCATAAGAAGTGCAGATACACTGGAAAGGAAAGGAAAAAGAAGAAAAAAGGAAAAACTTAATAATCAAGCCTTTTAGTTATCATAAAAGTAAATTCATGGAATTGAACTGATAAACATAACACAAACAGGGTCTAACTGACAGTAACCAAAAATGTCAGATCAACAGCTCCTCAAGTCAGTCAGACAATTAAAAACATGGAGAAAATATGTAAACGATATAAATAAACAAAAACCATTAGATCAAATCATTGATTCCAGCATCCAAAGTCAGCCCAAAGTACATGCCAGTCCAAATTGAACCCACCTTTAACCAGCTAAGAACCAAGAAAATCTAATTTAAACAAAAGGGGGAAGTCATAATGTCCCTTCCTAGTAAAGTAATTGATCTTGTTTAATTGCAAGCTTTGGCAAAAAAATTCCATCGATAGATGTGCTGGAGATAATAACACATTGGTAGAGCATTGAAGATATAGAACACTGTGCAGAGAGAACATGAAGATGATTGGAGTGTGAAAGAGAAACAAGACACTGATGCTTCATTATCTGAAAGCATAATGAAATCAAGGATTATACTTTTGATGCGTAATCTAATCTCATCAAAATCAATGAAATCAAAGTTAAGTAAATATTAAGAAATCAGATTTTTTCATAGTTAAGGAAATCAAGCTCTTCCTATCCAGGTACATCTTCAAATCAAGTTGGTAGAATACACAATAAGATGGCCTGGATCACCTAAAATTAGCATTTGTTTGCAACTTTTCTCACTTAGAGGATCAAGGTTTAAATATAAGTTGATCAAGGAATTTTTAAGCAATTTATTGAAAACCAACCTGTTTCTTAAGAATTTACAAACTGTTCTGTTTCTTCTCCTTTCCCTTTCAATGTATTGCAAAGATCTATTCCTAAGGGAAGTCACGCATTACTTTTTTCCTATTTTTATCATCCTTAGATAACATGAAGTGGAAAATAAATCTTGCTTAATGTGGATTGGATACTGGATATTTGCGACCTTCGGTACATTAACTTTTTTGCTTATTTTTATCTCTTTCACAAAACAAATATGAACTTCATATAGTAACATCCTTTATATATGGATTAGATATTGGACATTTTATTACAGACATGGCAACTCTTACCTGTCTATTATTGGAAACCAGCTTATCATGATACATCAAAACGTAGAATAGCTGGTGATAAAAAGTTGCGGTAGTATTAGCACAAAAAGAAGATTTCCCTTCTTTGTCAAGTTACTGCAGAATGTTACCTTTAGTTTTCTTCAATATATGATGCTGCAAAGAATGTGAAGATTATATCTTACTAATAAAGATAATCTACAATTTATTCATGATGAAAGATGTATTCGACTAATGTCATTGATAGTTCTGTTTTACAATCTCATGGAAAATACAGTACAACTTGATGTTCATTGAAATGCCCCTTAGAAGGAAAGAGAGCTTTTAACTCATGAGAAAGGATCTTTTCTTTCGTTCACATTGTACAACATAGGTACTCAGGACCTAAACACCATTTTCCTACTTCTGATCCTAGAATAGAGACATCAATCCATGTATGTATATGCATGTGTGCGTGTGTGTGTGTGTGTGTGTGTGTGCGTGCGCGCGTGTGTGTGTGAGAGAGAGAGAGAGAGAACCTGTCAAGGTGATAAAGAGGCTCGTCTATAAAAAGAATATGTGGTCTCGTAAGAAGCTCCCTAGCAATACCAACACGCCTTCTTTCGCCATTAGGAAGACCCTTCATGAAACAGTGACCTCCTATGAGTTTATTTGCATAATCACCCAGTGACATAGCAAGAATGGCATCCTCTACCACACTCTTTTTTTGACAGAAGAAACCAGGAAGCTGGAGCAGTGCTGAGTAGTAAAGGAATTCACGCACAGTAAGGGATCCAATAAGTGTGGTTTCCCTCTCAACATATCCTGAAAGTGGGAAAATAAATTCCATATCAGGATTAGAAAAGGAAGAAAGGTATCACTATCCAATTAATATACTGCATCACATTCAAGACATTCAAATCTGAGCATGTTCTCACTGCCTAATATCCACATGTTCGAAAATTCAGAATTCTACATAGATGATATGCACTTGTGCACTTAGAAATGTCCTGAAAATTTCAGGACCAAGAGCAAAGGATTGAAAAGGATCAGCAATCAGCAGCAGATGTGTACACAAGGTCATCCAGAAAGAGACTAATCAAACTTCAAAATGACAACTAAAAACTCACAGAAGCCTAGCTCTCCACAATTTATAACCAGGTGAAATCAAATGATCTCTCTTTGCAACTCAAAATATCTGACCACTGTGCTGCACAACCTGCTTCCTTCACACAAAGCAACCAGTTTTAGGGTCTCATCATCAGCCAACACACAGTAATCCTGTTAAAGATCCAACAGGTATAGCATTTCTTGATAAGCAGGTATGGAAGAGAACAAAGCAAGGGCCTTAGCAAGACTCTGTTGACCCCAAGCACAAAATGGTTAAACAGTGTCCTCCAACCCATTTGACTTGACAAAGCCTATGCTCCCTGTTAGCAAGGATTGAATCGATGATTGCTGTGGCATCACGCAATCACATGATTCATATATCAACATATGCATAGGTTAGAACAGGAAAGGATCAGCAGACCTGTCTGCTGAGTTATTGAGCAGATCTCGACTTTAATATATAAGCAACAGGTGGATATAACCCATATCCTCCCACTTGGAATATTCTCAAGAAGATGTGTGCATAAAATGAAAGGTCTATCAATAGTGCACATTGCTCCTTCCATCAGTTCATTATTTCAATTCTCCTACTAAATGTTAATCTATTCTCAATATAATTCAACAAAGCATTTGTCGATGGATGCCCAGACTAAGTGTCCATTTGGGAAAGACTTATGAGATAGATTTTCTCTTTTTTATTTTTTTGCAGAAATGAATCAAATAGTCATTTTAAAATTCAGCCCCACTGATTTAGTTCCCTCAAAAAAACACGAGTAAAATCCAGGTCATTTGATTCCAAATGGACCACAAGCAACAGCTTACAAAATGTCATAGGCAAAATGAAAAGATAAGACTCAATGAATGTAACATTATTTAGCACTTACATAGGAACCATATGGCACTCGTGATTTCTCTCCATTCACGAACACTTCACCGTACAATTTGGCTGAATCATGCAACCTACCTAAATTGCAAGAAAGCATCAGTTTTTCTAGTCATTTACATAACCACATGTACTTATGTAACTGGTGATCATTTGATTATGCAAACCTGCAAGAGCTCGCAATAAAGTTGATTTTCCAGACTTCGCTGGACCCATAATAACTGTCATAGACCCTGGCAATGCATAACCAGTTGAACTCTTCACAACCCTGTCAGAGTACTTTCTTTTTCCCTTTATAATTACAGTCAAGTCCTTCCAGACAACCGATGCCCCAGCAATCTTCCTCGCAACAACAGCACCCTCAGCTAATGGAGGGGACGGTAAAGATCCACTGTTGAGCTTTGATAGGGATGGGGAAACAGAAGCAGTGGCAGCATTGATAGAATCACTCCTTCCTCTGCCCTAACTTCTACATCTGTGTCCTCCCAGTCCGGCGAATCCTCAAATGATATGGGCTGTCTTAGAGAACCAGGTTTCCTCAAATAGAAAAAATTACTTGAAGGCACCCTACTCGCTGGACTACTTGCTGATGAAGATGAGGATCTATAATTATCTGACTGAGATTGTATCTCTTCCATTCGACTTTTGAATACTCTAATGCATTAAGTTGTAGAAAATTACTAGCTACAACAAACAAACAACTTCTATGGGGCGATCCCTTGAGATGAATGCACAATCAAATTCACTAAATTACTCCAAAAATCAAAACTCCATCTGCTTAAATTGTTTTTAGCTGGACAAAGTTAGAACCAACATTTCTTCAGTTGGTCCAACATTCTGGAATGAAAACAACTATACCTGCGTCCAACATAAATTAAGCAATAAGATGAAACATCAGAAAGCTCAAAATAGAAAATTAATATACAGGCCACTACAATCTCTCTGATAGCTCAGGTCCCAGTATCATCTGTGTGTGTGAGTGTGTGTACACGCCCTGGGCAGGAACTCGGTGTGTTTTAACATAGTCGGATGCTATAACCTAGAGTAGCAATCTCACGATATTCTTATCTAGTTTTTCTGATAACCGTAACACCTAAAAGACATACTGCAAACAAAAGCTGAAATATTTTCCATCTGTACGGGACTAAGAAATCAAAAGACTGCGTCATAGCTAACTCGAAGGCACTCCAAGTGTCATTTTCTAAAATCTCCTCGTGGTAAGGAGGAGATTTCTACTAGTGAGCCGAACACTTTCGCTGGCCTACACTCAAATGGCACAGCACTCAAACAACCATTTCCTTTCCACCTCGTTTCCTCAAATTCTGTCTCCAGTTTTCCCACGATTGAGGGGATTTCAAGCAAACAAGAAACTCGGATAGACAAATACACAACGGAATATTTGAGAAAGCGGTTTCATTTGAGATTCACCTCATAGAAACCATTCACCCCAAGAGTAATGCATTAATTCCAGTATAGAGAAGAGGGCAACCCAATTAGCAGCTACTGAAAACGAGCTTATTAAGTGAGAACCTCAATGGAGGGCGAAACCAAAAAATCAAAGTCCAGGAGCAGCAAGGGAGGGAGAGAAAGAGAGGACTCACCTAGATCTGAGCCGGAGCTGGTGCAGGAAGCAGCCAGAGCCCGCGGAGCACTAAAAAGAGAAACTAGAGAGTATGAAAGAAGCGTACACTGCGTCTTCGAGTGGATCTTTTGACCCTTTTTCTTTTGCTGTTTGCCGCGATGCTTTGCTGTTCATCACTTCTCTTTACATCCTTTTCCCTTTTCTTTTATTTTCCCTATGCTCATAATATAGATATATAATTATAGAATAGAAATGATTAATGATAATTGTGAGATCACATTCTATTTACGAATTGGGTTATTAAGCTCAAACATTAAAAATAAAATATATTTGTAAAAAAAATAAAAGTAATTTTGACATTTAATTTTTACCATTTTTGACTTTATTTTATTTTTCTCTTCATCCAAAAATCATATTCTAAATGGAATGTAACATACTTGCTATGCAATTCATTTTTTTATTATAATTTTAAAAAATAAAGAGCAAAACATATGCACAAGGCCAGGAGGAGATTAAAAATATATATAAATTGGCACTAAAAAATTGAAAAATTATAATAGAAAATAGGAATCGGGTGAATACCTTCTAATCCCTTTGTTAAATTACTCATCAGATGAATTGAACATACCCAGGGATTATAACCAAACACTAGATTAATCAGACAGTTATTATGTTCCACTCTCCTTCAATTTAGAAATTAAAAATTATAATTATTATGATATGGATCGAATATAAATTAAAAAATGGGAATTAAACAAAGAATTATTTATAAAAATTGCATTGCGTGGAGTTAGAGATGAATAAAATGTAAATTACGAAGATTGATAGAACATTGATCAATTAATTCGAATAATAGAAAAACGAAAAGGGTCACAAAAAATTATTAAAATTTTATCTGTCCAATCACAACTCTCCACGTGGGAGTATATCTATTCATGGGAATGGCAAGGAATAGAGTATCCCAGGCAACGAAGAATTAAAATAATTAGGAATAAACATGTCAGGGTTCGCTGTTCCTCCAGTTCATGTCCTTTTTTATTCCCTAATTATCCTATAAAATAACTCTAAATAATATTCCCTTTTCTTATAATTTTTAATTACACATGTATTATGTTGAAAAGATTAAAAAAATTCAACCATTTTTTAATGAAGAATTCACTAATGACTTGCCTTGTACAGGAGTTAACATGGAAAGCAAAGCGTGATGATTCCAATTCAAGCCTTTCTTTAGGCATTAAGGAGGAGGATCAAGGCCACTGTTCCTTTAATACATACATACACACACGTACATACATAAAAAATACATAAAAAGAGATTAATTAATATCAGTATAAATGTAAAAAATTTATGCAAAATCTTAACGTTGATTTAGTAAAAATTAATAGATAAAATTAATTAAAAGAAGATAACTACAAATTGATTATTAAAAATTATTGAAAGGCGATTGTAAATTAGTTATTAGAAGTTATTTAGAGACAACTGTAATTAAATAAAGATAACTACAAATTAGTTATTGGAAGACAGTTATAATTAAAAAAAGATAACTACAAATTAGTTATTGAAAATTATTAGAAAATGGCTGTAATTAATCTCATCAGTTTATTTTGACAAAATCAACGGTGTAAAATTTGGTTTAAGTTTTTTACACTTACACCAATGTTAATTGATCCATTCTCTACATATATTTATATATATATATAAAGTCCAATTGATATTATTGTAAATATAAAATATTTATAACAAATTTTATGCCATTTATTTAATCAAATTTTAACAGATGAGATTAATTATAACTAAACACTCATATTAAATCTTAATTTTGACTAAATCAACTACTTAAATTTTGGTGCAAATATTTTATACTTATACTAGTGTTTATTGATCACTTCTCTCTCCTTCTCCTTCCATCTCTCTCTCTCTCTTTATATATATATATATATATATATTGACAACTTAACAGATAGGGTTTTATTTTGGAAATTGATATTTAGTTTTTAAATTAACTTGTATTGCTAAAGTTACTTAGCTGGCTACCAACATGTCCCCACTGCCATTTCAACGTTTTTTACATGAAATTCCTTGATTTTTTAAATTAAAAATCAATCATTCTTTAATTTTATTTAATTTGTCCAGCTAAAGTGACTCGGTTGGCTACCAACATCTCCCAATTTCAACATTTTGTACATGAAATTTTGAAATTGATATCCAGACAAATTGATTTTGATCAAGGAAGATATCAGCAGAAAGTGGAGGAAAGATTATAGAATGATTTTGACTTAAAATGCATCATTAGTCTTCAATAATGAAGTTTCCGCAAATCAGTTACAGAAAAGCAGATTCTGGAAAGGAAATAAAGAAGGTAAGGAACCAATTGGCATCCAAAGGGTCTCTGTTTGTCTAGGTGTCATTCAAAAAGCAGTTCAAATATCAAAATTACTTCTTCTATAATCCCCCCCCTTTCAATTATTTTTGCTTTTTCTATTTTAATATAATACAGTTTGCTTATCAAAGGAGCTAAAATGAAATCTTGAGATTGAATCTTGAAATTTTAAATGGCAGCATATGAATGATCTTGTAACGGCACTTTGATTTATACATACATATATATATATATATATATAAAGAGAGAGAGAGAGCTGTAAAACCGCTAATAGTTTGTTAATGCAATACGGATGAGATAAGAATTTTGATAATACATGACAGGTGTCAACCTTGTCGCTTAGTAAATCTTGTAGCAAAATTATGCAAGTTGACACGGTTTCTCTCACATGGCACGTTGAGTCAGGTCAAATCTGATTGGGACTTGAAAATGCGAGGTATATTGTAAAAATTATTAGTTTAAAATAATAGATATATTGTAAAAATTACTAGTTTAAAGTTGATTTTTAAATTATAATTAGTCAAAAAAAATTATCTTTTAACTTAGTTTATTTATAAAACTGATAAAATTTAACTTCACTTATATTTCTATTAAATTAGAATTATTTAAAATATAAAAATATTATATATAATATTTAGAATAAATAATACTTTACCTCATAGAAAATTTAAATTTTAACACTACACTTTCTATAAACACATGAAAGAGATTTTTGTACTTGTAAATATTAATTTCATAATATTGTTCCTAGACAATATTTTAGTAAAATATTTATTGAAAATTCTAATTTCAAATGACATAAATATATTTTCATATATAAATACTGAGTATAAATAGGTGAAACGGGAAAAGATAAATTAATATTTATATTTAAAAATATATTTATACTCTTTAAAAGTAAAATTTTTGATAAATATTTTACTCAAACATCAATAAGGGAATAAGTGTTATAAACATAATATTTGTAAGGGAAAATATTATTTTTATATATTTATAAAGTATATAATACTAAAATTTATATTTTTTAAGAGATGAAGTACTATTTATCTTGTAATTCATATTTCAACTATATATTTTAAATATAATTAATTATATGGACAGGTACGTTAAACTCACGGGTCAAGCCAAAAAAAATTCTAAATTTATCTAAATAAAAATATTAATTTTTTAATTTAATTAGATAAATGAGACACGCCAGGTCAAATAAAAATAGGGTTGCTGGAGACAGCTCACCAATAATCTAGTTATCTTCAAACTTAATTATAACCCGAGGTGTCACGTGATTAGCAGAGTTAGACCCAATAAAAGGAAAATAAATAAATAAATAAATAAGAGAAGCTTCTCGAGGTAAACCATGGATTCCTAGATCGACTGCGAGGAAGGCTTAGCGTGAGGAAGGCTTAGCGTACAAAGACCATCCCACACAACACAAGCCAT